AAAAAAAGTGTGTCGCCATTCTGCACTCATATTCCGCTGGATCTCCAGCCGTTTGCCGTCTGCCGCCACTCTGTCTCTCCAGCACCTTCGCCGGCCAATCAGCCCACGTTCCCTTCACCAGCCCGCCACCGGCATCCAACACCACCGTCTCCGACGTCCCAAACCACCTTCCATCCGACGTCCCAAACCACCTTTCATCCGACGTCGGAGTTTCAACATACAGACCATAGCCCGGCCTACTCAGACCAGCCACCGTCAGTCATCCCGCAACCAGCCTACGCCGCCGTGGTCAAGGCCACCGTGAAACGCACGGTCCCACGCATGTGAAACGCACCATAAGCAGGGAAAAGCCCAGATGAATCCCAAGTGGGGTTCCATCCCAAAAACAACTGATGGAAGGAGGAGTAACTCATTAGACTTAGATGCAGCCTTAGCTGCTGGTGCTCGGGCGAGTGAAATGGGCATTGGTTTTCTTCTCGGGATCTTTTGGATGATGGCCAAGCTTTCTAGTTATCTTTTGTTCTCGCTCTTAATGTCCGATCCAATCCCAAACCAGAAAAGAAAGAAGGTCTAATATTCTCGATACCCGCCAGAAAAATGGGTTGTCGGAAAATTCATCGGCTCTGGAGATGGTGGACGCCCTCGGGTGCACAGCGGAACAAGGAGTCCGAAGGTGTCCCCGAAATTCGGTGGGCATTGCGAATTGCCAGAAAATTGAAGAAAAAGATTGAATTTTGATCGAAATTTTCTAGATTTAAAAACTTTGACCCAAGCAATTGACCGTCTTATAGCTGGTGGAATTTTTGTCGGAAATTTTTGTATGTGAACAAAGACGAGAAGAGTTTCAAAATGATGTAAAAAAAATTCGACCGGCCGTCGACGAACGCCAGCGGCCGAGTGGATGGGTGGAGATGAAATAGTGTTAGGAATTGCAGGAGCTCATTTTTTAAATTTTAATAAGTTTTATGGACTATTTTGAAATTTTAAAAGTTTTAATTAATTGCAAATAAGGACTGAGACTGATGTGGATTATTTAATTTTGAAGTCAAGATTTCCTAATCCCGCCACATAAGCCACAATCACGTGATGTCAGGTTTAAAAATGCCACATCACAATTTTTACCTAGGGCGCGATAAAAATAGACCAAAATGGATGAAACTGACAGATTATTGGTCCTATATTAAAAGTGGTCAATGACGTGGTGAATTTTTAGAATGTGACTAAATTATAGGAGCAATTTTAAAATTTTGACGTATAGATAGATATATATTTTTAAGTCAAAGTCGTCTTATAACTGAAACACTTTTTCCTTTTCGTTATCAGATGAGATAAGTCGGTGTTGGCCCATTTTCACACAATTTGATAGTCTGCAGCGGATTTACACCTTAACTAATACATGCAATGGCAAGTGCATGCATATATCACTCAGATTAATATGTAGAAATTTTATTTTTACACCTGACACAAATAATATAAATTTAGGAAAGTAACACCGATAATGTAATTTCTTTGAATTGGAAATTAATAACTGAACCATAAGATGGGCAAGAATAGATTCACCTCATTCCCTGTATATGTATATATGTGTAGACTGCATGGACAGTACCCAAGATCCAACTCTTATTCCTAATCATACCACCATCAGTACAAGTTTTAAGTAATGAGGATGAATGAATCAAAATTCTGTATCCTTGCATCTATGTTTTGGGTCCTCCTTTTCTTGTCTTTCAGACCACTCTATTCATTCTCTTGCCCTGATATCGAAATGCAATCACTTCTAACTTTCAAGCAATCTCTGCAGGACCAAGAAAACATGTTGTCTTCTTGGGATTCCAAAACCGATTGTTGCACTTGGGAAGGTGTTGTTTGCAGCAACGTAACTGGCCATGTTCTTCAACTTGATTTTAATTTTTTTTTTTTAGGTGGCAAAATAAATTCTTCTTTGCTCAACTTGAAGCATTTGAAATACCTTGACCTGAGCTATAACAAGTTTCATGAAAAGATACCTTCCTTCATTGGATCACTCACTAGCCTCGAGTACTTGAATTTAGATTATGCTGGATTTTATGGAAAGATTCCCCACAGTATTGGGAATCTTTCAAATTTGCACATTTTAAATTTGGGTGTCAGCTCAGAAGGGCCGCAGTTGGAAGTGAGTAGTGTTGAATGGTTGTCGGGACTTTCTCGATTGGAGCAGCTCAACATGGATGCTGTGAACCTCAGCAAAGCAACCAACTGGGCACAACAGGTTATCAACAAACTTCCTTCTTTAGTTGAGCTGCATTTTCGTCGATGTAATCTTAATTTGATGGCTCCTCTGAATGATGTTAACAATATCAGTCATTCTAATTTAGCCACACTTGATCTCTCCTACAATTCCCTGTCGTATGCCATCATCCCTCCGTGGATATTTCAACTCACCAACCTCCAACACCTTGATTTAAGTGGAAATGAACTTTCTGGAAAAATATCGAGAGTAATTGCAAACCTGTGCAATATTCGGACATTGAGTTCATATTCTAATAAATCGGGAGGAGAGAGATCGGATTCATTTGGAAATATGTCAGATTGTTTCTTAGGATCTTTGATATCTTTAGATTTGTCAGATAATCAACTCTCCGGTATAATTCCAGAAGAATTAGATAATTTGCTTTCCCTTGAAAGGTTATACTTGGGTAATAATAAATTGAGGGGGAACTTACCAGAGAGTATGGGGAAACTTGTGAACTTGACAGCGCTTAGAATAGATAATAACATGTTGGAAGGGGTTGTGACTGAAACCCACTTTGCCAATCTCTCAAATTTAGAATTCTTACGAGCCTCTGGAAACCAGTTGACTTTAAAAGTCAACCCCAGTTGGATTCCACCATTCAAAATGAACTGGCTTTACCTGGGGTCTTGGGACTTGGGGTCTCAATTCCCGTTATGGCTTGAGACTCAGAAAGAGAGTATCATCGAACTTGATTTATCGTGTACTGGAATCTATGGAAATGTTCCCAGCTGGTTATGGAGTTTGAGTTCTCTCAACCTTTCCCATAACCAACTCGACGGAAAGATTTTATCCATTAGTGATCGTCACAATGGTGATCATTATATTTCCAAGTCTTTTGACTTGAGTTTCAACAGGTTTAGTGGTCCACTGCCTCAACTAATGACAAGTTCGTTTTTGGAACTCCATTTCTCGAATAACTCATTTTTCGGAGGCTTGTCAGAATTTGTTTGTACCACTCTATCAAATGTATTGCTTATAAATTTGGAAGGAAACCATCTTTCTGGAGAGTTACCCGAATGTTTTATCAAATGGCAATCATTGGCAGTGTTGAACTTAGCCAACAACAAATTGTCCGGAAGAATACCAGATTCCATCAGATTTCTTAACCAGCTAGCGTCTTTGAGTCTCCACGGCAACAATTTCTCTGGCCTCATACCTTCTTCATTGCAAAACTGCACGAAACTAATTAAGATCGACTTTTCTGATAACAATCTTGGTGGGGACATACCGAAATGGATTGGCACAAGATTTCACAGGTTGAGATTTCTGATTTTGCAGTCCAACAATTTCAGTGGAGAAATTAGTCCATCCATATGTCACCTCACTTCTCTTCAAGTCTTGGATCTCTCTAATAACAAACTGTCGGGGAGGCTACCTCAATGCCTCAACAATCTTACCACAATGACCACTAAAAGGATTTTGGATAGGCCACAATATTCTGTATCTATGGAAGGTTCTTTTATATCTGGAGTAGAAATTCAGGAGAGCGCATCAATTTCAATGAAGGGTAGAGAACTCATCTACGATGCCAATCTCTTTTTGGTTATCAGTATTGACCTTTCAAACAACATCCTGTCTGGTGATATCCCAAGGGAGATGATAAATCTGGTTGAACTCAGAACACTGAACCTGTCACGAAATCATTTAACAGGATCCATCCCAGACAACATTGGAAACATGAACCAACTCGAATCTCTTGATTTCTCCATGAATTCACTCTCTGGCAACATTCCAGGTAGCATGTCAATCATGACTTCTCTGAATTACTTGAATCTGTCATATAACCACTTGACTGGAAGAATCCCACAAAGCACCCAAATTGGGAGCTTGAACGAGTCGAGCTTCATCGGCAACAATCTTTGTGGCTCTCCACTGAAAATTTCATGCAGAAATGGTAGTAATGCCTCTACCCCAACGAACGCAGAGAATAAAGGCCGAGAAGTCGGTATGCCAGAGATTAATTGGTTTTACATATTCCTATCTTTAGGATATGCTGTTGGGATTTCAGCTGTATTCACTACATTGTATTTCAATAACAAATGGAGGGAAGCATATTATGCATTCCTTCAAAAAGTGTGGGACAGTGTATATGTGTATTTTGTTATCAAATGGAGAAGGCTCACGAGAGTGTTGGGTCGAAATTCGTGAAGGCCCTGTCGAGAAATAATGCATGAACCTTACCTCTGGAGGACTTTACGCTTTGATTTCTTTGTTGTATTCTGATGCTGGATTTGTTCGCTATGTTTGGTGTTGCTTATTCTAATATTTTGTAAGATTATTCGGGCCTGGTTCATTTTCTAATATTAAATATATCTCGTGCTTTATGAAATTTTATAACATTTACATTTCCTTTTTCTCTGCTTTGTAGTTTTGGTGATTTCATTATCTTTGCTTGATTTTAAGACATCTTCGGTGTTTCTTGGAGGTTCCTCATCTATTACTCGCCTTCTTGCTTTTTTACCATTTGGATAAACTAAAAAAAGCAGTGACAATAAGCTGATTTCTGTAAGAAATTAATTATTACCTCAAGGGGTGTCTTAGGGGTGATTGGATATGAATTCAACTAGTAAAAAACTAGTTTTTTTTAACTATAGTTAAGTTTAAAAAAAAGTAGTATGGTTAGTTGTTAGTGGATATATTAAAATAATATTTAAATTAAAATAATTAAAGTTGATTTGATGTAAAAGTAAGAGAAAATGATTGGAAGTGATGGTTAGTTAAAATTATGTGAGTGTGTAAATAGTGAATTAAAGTTGATGTGGTGTGTAATAATGATTAGTTGATATTATTTAATTATATTGATAATATTGAAGATAGTGGAGTTGAGTTAAAGTTGAGTTAAATTTGAGTTTTGAGTGAGATATTTACTGTAGAAATTATATACAATCACGCCCAAGAGTCTTGATTTCTGTTTTATACAAACTGCAACCTCAGGCCTGTTTATAATTGAAAGTTAGAAACAAGACGCTTAGCAAACCACTTTCCATATAAAAATGATTAATGGTACAATTTTTTCATGAATAAAACTCATTAAAATTAACATCTGATAAGAAGTCGTGCTTCCACAAGCACCTTCCATTGCCCTCTTCTCCACATTTCATTTAATAATGTTGAAGAAAATATAGTCACTTGAGCGCAGCGTTTGATGCATCTTCCAAATAGCTAACATACCGGAATATTTTTCTACAAGTAGCTTTCCTCCAAATAGCTAAAAATCTGCTTTATCTATATCTATCTATCTATCTATCTATATCTATATCTATCTATATCTATATCTATATCTATCTATATCTATATCTACACTACTCTAAAAGGACGAGTGTTTTTGTAAAAATATGAACTATCTAAAATAAGCTTACTTTGACATATTTTTAATGACAAATTAGTAATACACTAATACATATTTTATTTATATTTTTAATTAAAAAAATGAATTACCTAAAAAACCCTTACTTTAACATGTTTTTTAATGGCAAATAAGTAATACATTACTACCCATCATATCTTATATTTTTAATTAATAACTAATGCTTAATTTATTAAATACAAATACAAGAACAATACATTTCACATCTCCTAAAAATCAAACAAAATATTCACGCAACATTCTTTATCACGAAATGGCTTTCTTCCACATATCTCCCAAAAATCAACCCAACATCAATCTAAACAACAAAGTTTTGAAAAGATATAGAATTGTTGTTTTAAAAAAATTCTTGTTTTTAATATAATTTTATACATTATCTTACAAACTAGCTAAGTTGAACAATTTCATTTAGCTACTTCATTATTTAAGAAAGTAAACTTTTATATTTAGAACTAGAATAGAAATTGCACTTTAGTCTAGAATATTTGGTTTGTGTAATTGTATTTAATTAATTAAATATTAAATAAGTATTAGTATATTACTAATTTGACATTAAAAATATGTCAAATAAAAAGTTAATATATTTTTTCCATAATAAATTAGAAAAAAAAGTAAATTGTGTAATAATATGAGAAATAAATTGTTGAATAATTATTTTGCAACCTAAACTCTAAAATACTCAATTTTTTTAATTAAAATAAGATTATTGTAATTTTATGTAATTATATAATACTAAAATCCAATCCATTTTTTAGTCGAATGGGATATTGCTTGAGCAGCATGATTTAAGTTTGATCATATAATTATCTACAAATTAATTAAGATGTCTAGAGAATCATGATATGCTTATACGCTGAAAATTAATTAATTTTTTACCAATAAATTATATCATATATCATCATTACTCATCTATTAACTATAACTAAAAAAATTAAAATCGATAATGTTTTCCTCACAACACCCATAAATTATAAAAACATTTTTTTTTTTTCAAAATAACCTATAAAAGTAATGTAATAGTATGAAAAATTAATTGTTGAATGATTGTTTTGCAGCCTAAACTTCTAATCTACTTTTATGAAATGCATAATACTAAAACTCATACTATTTTATTTTTATTTCAAATGTATACTGCTTGAGCAACATGATTTAATTAAGATTACATGATTATCTATAAATTAATTAAAAAACAATTAAGAAATCATGATACGCACATATACGTTGAAAATTAATTAATTTTAGCAATAAATTATATCGATATATTACCATTACTTATCTATTTATTTATCTGTATTATTTTAATAAAGTAATTTTTTATTAAAAAAAGTACATAATTAATTTTTTTATATTTGAGTATAATATTAATGAGAAAAATTTAATTATATATAATAAAATAAAAAATGTACAATTAATTGATTATAATAAGACAACTGTCCCAAAAGGTTCTATATTTAATTTTATATATTCTTCTAACAAATATATTAAGGAAAAAAAACATCATAAAGGAATATATATATATATATATATATTAAAACATATAAAATAACAATATAAAGGAAAAACATATTAAATTTGATAAATAATATTAAAATACACTTAAGTTGTAACACTTACTAAAAAATATGAAAAAAAAGTAATAAATAAAATGTTATGGTTAATACATTAAATACAAATAAGTAATACATTAATACCCATCATATCTTATATTTTTAATTAATAACTAATGCTTAATTTATTAAATACAAATACAAGAACAATACATTTCACATCTCCTAAAAATCAAACAAAATATTCACGCACCATTCTTTATCACGAAATGACTTTCTTCCACATATCTCCCAAAAATCAACCCAACATCAACCTAAACAACAAAGTTTTGAAAAGATATAGAATTGTTGTTTTATAAAAATTCTTGTTTTTAATATAAATTTATACATTATCTTACAAACTAGCTAAGTTGAACAATTTCATTTAGCTACTTCATTATTTAAGAAAGTAAACTTCTATATTTTGAACTAGAATAGAAATTGCACTTTAGTCTAGAATATTTGGTTTGTGTAATTGTATTTAATTAATTAAATATTAAATAAGTATTAGTATATTACTAATTTGACATTAAAAATATGTCAAATAAAAAGTTAATATATTTTTTCCATAATAAATTAGAAAAAAAAGTAAATTGTGTAATAATATGAGAAATAAATTGTTGAATAATTATTTTGCAACCTAAGCTCTAAAATACTCAATTTTTGTTACTTAAAATAAGATTATTGTAATCTTATGTAATTGTATAATACTAAAATCCAATCCATTTTTTAGTCGAATGGGATATTGCTTGAGCAGCATGATTTAAGTTTGATCATATAATTATCTACAAATTAATTAAGATGTCTAGAGAATCATGATATGCTTATACGCTGAAAATTAATTAATTTTTTACCAATAAATTGTATCATATATCATCATTACTCATCTATTATTAATAACTATAACTAAAAAAATTAAAATGGATAATGTTTTCCTCAAAACACCCATAAATTATAAAAACGTCTTTTTTTTTCAAAATAACCTATAAAAGTAATGTAATAGTATGAAAAATTAATTTTTGAATGATTGTTTTGCAGCGTAAACTTCTAATCTACTTTTATGAAATGCATAATACTAAAACCCATACTATTTTATTTTTATTTCAAATGTATACTGATTGAGCAACATGATTTAATTTAGATTACATGATTATCTATAAATTAATTAAAAAACAATTAGGAAATCATGATATGCACATATACGTTGAAAATTAGTTAATTTTAGCAATAAATTATATCGATATATTACCATTACTTATCTATCTATTTATCTGTATTATTTTAATAAAGTAATTTTTTATTAAAAAAAGTACATAATTAATTTTTTTATATTTGAGTATAATATTAATGAGAAAAATTTAATTATATATAATAAAATAAAAAATGTACAATTAATTGATTATAATAAGACAACTGTCCCAAAAGGTTCTATATTTAATTTTATATATTCTTCTAACAAATATATTAAGGAAAAAAAACATCATAAAGGAATATATATATATATATATATATATATGTGTGTGTGTGTGTGTATATATATATATATATACTAGTACGTAACCCGTGCGATGCACGAACTATATTCATTTTGAGAAATGTAGTGTAGTACCGGTGCGCAGTACAGTGAGGTTATTTCCTCAAACCTTTTTGTCTAAATTTTATTTAATATTTTTGTTTATAAATTAATAATTTGATTGTAATAGGAAAAAAAGAGAGAAAAATACAAAGTACACAAAAAAAAATAAAATCATATATTATTAAACACTTCTCTGTACACAACATTATCGGTTTGATTTGCTTTCAAACCTTCTTCTCCAAAAATTAAAATTTTAAGACCATTTCTATTAGTAACACGGGAGGCAACGGCATATAACTGGTTATGACTAAAAATTTGTTTCTTCAAGAATAAGCCAACATGAGATAAGGATTGACCTTGGCTCTTGTTTATAGTCATTGCATACGAAATCATAATGGGAAACTGCCTTCTTTGGAATTTGAATGGTACTCTAACATCCGAAGGAGTTATGGTCATTAGAGGAATCAAAACTCTATCACCTGCATGATCGCCAGTAAGAATTTTACACTCGAGAACATGATTGGAGAGTTTAGTCACAACCAATCGTGTACCATTGTAGAGTCCCATTGAGTGATCCATGTTCCGCAACAACATAACTGGAGTTCCGACCTTTAAATTC